AGCGTTTCTCAACCTGTGGGTCGCGACCCCTTTGGCGGTCGAACGACCCTTTCACAGGGGTCGCCTAAGACCATCCTGCCTATCAGATATTTACAAGACGATTCATAATAGTAGCAACATGACAGATATGAAGTAGCAACGAAAATAATTTTATGGTTGGGTCACCACATGAGGAACTGTATTTAAAGGGCCAGAAGGTTGAGAACCACTGAAATGTATTTGAAAACAGCGTATGTGTGGGAGGCATGATGTAGGCGTCGCCCAGCACATCTGCTTCCCGTGCAGATGATGCAGGGACGCCCTTGACATCGCTCCGGGGACCCTGGCTCCCCCGGCTGAGATCACGCACTCAGGTTCCTTAGGCACAAGTGGGCAGCACCGGACGAAAACCGTCACCTCCACAAACCTGGCCATTCTGGAGCGAGGCCCCATTTCCCATGTTAAAAACGGATCCGTCTTTCCCCCTCACGCGTTCTCCAAATCTAAGCTTCCAAGCTAACGTAGACTGGGTCCCTCCAGGAGGCAGGCACCGGTTAGGCGCCGCGGCTCGGGGCCGGCACCTTCAGCAAATCCCAGCGCCCGGCGGTGGTCCCACTACGTGCAAAACCAAACCACAGAGGCAGACCCCACGGAGAGACCCCGCCTGCCCCGGGGTGACTCACCTCCGGGAAGCCCGCCGTCCTTGCCCGGCTCCGGGGGGCCACGCCTCCGGCCGGGCGCCCCCACCTTGGCGGTGCTGATGGACTCCAACAGGGAGACAAACTCCAGGAAGTTGGACTCGTTGGGAGTCTGTCCTTCCTTCGCCTCCAGGTCGGACTTGGACGTGGGCATGGCTCTCTCCTTCTCGGGACCAACCTCGGCCGGGCTCCTGCTCAGGAAGACCTCGGTGCCGCTGTCCACGCTGAGCACCCGGGCGTGTCGCTTCTCCTGGCTGCTCTTGCACGACGAGGGGTCGAGGCTGGCCTGGCCGGCCCTTCCCCGCTCGCCCTCGGGGGCCGCCGAGTCACAGGGGCGTCCCGGGGAAGGACTGCGGGCCTCGGCGGCATGGCCCTGGTCCCCGGACTCCCAGCTGGGGCGCTGGGCAGAGGGGGCCTCCACCATCCATCTCTCGGGCGCCCTCTGGTCCCCGTCCTCAGACAGCTCGAGGGTGATGACGGGGACCCTCGGCTCCAGGTTTGGGGGACCGGCCCGCCCCGGGGTGGCCGGCGGGGCTCCGGACGGCAGACCGGTCGTCCCGGGGCCGACCCCCTGCAGGTGGAGCGAGCTCTCCAGGTCCGTCACGGAGCCCCGGGCGCTGCTCATGGTGATGACGATCTTAATGGGCTCGTGCAGGCTCAGCGGGTCTCCGGGCTCAGAGGTGTCAATCAGAGTCACGGCCACCTCTCCCTTGGAGACGTCCCCTTGCAGGTTCAAGGGCGGGTCCGCCTGCCGGGAGGGGTCTGCCTGCCGGGAGGGGTCCCCCAGCGGGTGCCCGGGGTTGGTGATGACGGCGTGACACTGCGGCCAGCTGCGGCTCAGGCTCTCCGACTGCTCCCTGGCCGAGCCCTGGGCATCATTCCCGGGCTCCGGAGTCAGGACTGAATTCTCGCTCCCCCACGGCTGGAAGGGAACGCCTGTTCTCAGGGAGGCCTTCTCCTCCAGGCCGCCCTCCGACCGGTGGCAGAGAGGGGGCTGCCCCCTGCCCCCTCCGCCCCTCCCTCTGTCGGCTCTTCCGGCCACGCCTGGTTTCGCTGGGACGGCTGGCAGGGTCCCGGCTCCCGGCACGGGGGCTCTAGAAGGAGGGGAGCTGTCCGTTTTGACGCCAGGTGGGGTGGGTGACACGGGTGCCGCAGGCTGGTCTTCTGCCAGGACGACACCTGCCATCAACAACAACAGCAACTTTATTGGCGCTGGAATTGGATGGAGAATGGCCCGGGCCAAAACCTGACAACAACAGAACTAAAACCAGCACCAGCGCCAAAGCGAATGGACGCTTATTTGAAAAATGTCACCTTCGCCGCGAAAGTGTTCTTAAAATCTCTATACTGAAAAAATATACAGTGGGGCCTTGACTTAAGAGTGTCCCGACTAACGAGGTTTTCGAGATACGAGCCGTCTCTCGGCCGATGTTTTGCTTTGAGTTGCGAGCTAAAATTCGGGTTACGAGCCAGCTTCAGATACCCCACCGCTAGTTGGCGCAGCGCACGTCACAGTGAACGCCACAACATCAGCCCAGCATCACGTGTCTCACTCGTTCACTTTATGGTTTGACATACGAGTAATTTGAGTTACGAGCTCCGTCACGGAACGAGTTAAACTCGTAAGTCAAGGCCCCACTGTATAATAATTCAGCAGAAGCAGGTAGCTTCTGCTGTTTTGTGGCCTTGGGAGCCAGGCTGGGAACGGGTTAAACTACCTGTTTGGGCCCGGCCACCCTGGCTCGGTGGTTGAGCCAATTTCACGTCTGTATGTTGATGATACGCTTACTCTACTTTACGCCTGCTGTGACGCGCCCTACGGAACGAGGACCGAACTGGAGAAGGGACAATGAAATATGACCGATACAACGTCACGCTTTGAATGCAGACGTGACATACAGATTCCGATGAGAAATCATTAAAATGAAGAGTAGCCGAAACCGGTTTGGCTCAGTGGATAGAGCATCGGCCTGCGGACTGAAAGGTCCCAGGTTCGATTCCGGTCAAGGGCATGTACCTGGGTTGCAGGCACATCCCCAGTAGGAGATGTGCAGGAGGCAGCGGATCGATGTTTCTCTCTCATCGATGTTTCTAACTCTCTATCTCTCTCCCTTCCTCTCTGTAAAAAATCAATAAAATATATTTTTAAAAAAATGAAGAGTAAAAGAAATGTAGTAAAACTATAACTATGCAGTCTGAGGCATAGCTCGCATTTCCAATGATTTCACGGGGATTCTCTTTGACGACATTGTTTTTCACTTCTCGGAGGATCGTGCTGAGATAAAATATTAAATGATGACCACAGACACTCTACCTTTGAGATCTTCCACTGTTTCCTGTGCCGGCAACTCCTAAGTAAAGGAGAGAAGGAAAATCAATACATGACTCAGCTCACTGCCCATTTCCAGGCAGTCAGCAGCCACTGCCCTTCTCAGTGACGCTATTTAAGCCTCCAATCAGATGGACAGCACAAAAAAAAACGCAAAATCGTCCGCATGGAGACACCCACCTCCGACCACTGCCCTGTGATAAAAGGGAGTTCTCTAGTGAACGGCCACTCAGTCATCCCTGAACTATAAACCAGCAGGGAGGAGGCGCGTGCAGGAATGTAGCATAGGCCCTGGCCGGTTTGGCACAGTGGATAGAGCGTCGGCCTGTGGACTGAAGGGTCCCTAGTTCGATTCCCGGTCAGGGCACATGCCCGGGTTGCGGGCTCGATCCCCAGTGTGGGGCGTGCAGGAGGCAGCTCGTTGATGTTTCTATCTCTCACTCCCTACCTCTCTGAAATCAATAAAAATAAAAAAATAATTTAAAAAATTTGAGTTTTCTTAAAAAAAAAAAAAGAATGTAGCATACGGAGAAGAAATAATGTCCTACTTTATACTATAGTGACTAGAGCCCAATAAAATTAATCTAGAAAAGGGGTGATTTATGCCCGGCCAGTGTGGCTCAGTGGTTGAGCATTGACCTATGAACCAGGAGGTCACCGTTCAATTCCCGGTCGGGGCACATGTCCGGGTTGCAGGCTCGATCCCAAGTAAGGGGCGTGCAGGGGGCAGCCGATCAGTGATTCTCTCTCATCATTGATGTCTCTCTCTCTCTCTCTCTCTTTCTCTCTGAAATCAATAAAAATATATTTTTTAAAAAGGGTGATTTATTGACCTTCTAACAGACAGGGGTGGATTAAGGTGGAGAGGCGGAGCTGACTCCAGGAGAAGGGAGAGGAGGAGGGGGAGTGAAGGTCTACAATGGGCTCTTCCGGCCAGAGCGGCAGGCCGGGCAGGTGGGTGTTCCCAGCACACGACCGGGTGTCTCTCCTACGGTCCCAGCACGGCCCCAGGTCACCTCCTCGCTCCGAGACATGCTATTCCACAGGCTCACGGGCCAGGGTCCACAGCGAGGAGCATGTAAGCTCAATCACAGTGCGCCCGCCCAGTCCCGGCGGGCTCCGCACCCGGCACCGAGGGCGGGACCGGGAAGCCCACACTCACCAGCAGCCCGGAGGAGCGGTGAGAGCCGGAGTTCTGTCCCTGGGAGCCGCAGCGCAGGGGGGGGCGTGCAGCAGCTCCGGTCGGCCTCTCCCTTCTTGCCATTGCTAGTCAGCTGGTTATTGCTAACCCAACAGGAGAAACAGGAGAGCAGTGAAATTAGCAATCACAACTATGACACTTTCCGTACTGGTCCCCGGACAATTTTTCCCCAGACTCCATTTCGTCATAATCACTGTCTGCAAATTAAGTTTTTAAGACAGAGTAATAAGCATGACTTTAAAATAAGACATGAGCCAGGGTGGTGTGGCTCAGTGGGTGAGCATCGACCTGTGAACCAGGAGGTCACGGTTCGATTCCTGCTCAGAGCACAGGCCCGGGTTGCAGGCCTGATCCCCAGTAGGGGGCGTGCAGGAGGCAGCCGGTCCATGATTCTCTCTCATCGTTGATGTTTCTATCTCTCACTCCCTTCCTCTCTGAAATCAATAAAAATAAAAAATTAAAAAAATAATTTAAAAATTCAAGTTTTCTTAAAAGAAAAAAAGAATGTAGCATACGGAGAAGAAATAATGTCCTACTTTATACTATAGTGACTGGAGCCCAATAAAATTAATCTAGAAAAGGGGTGATTTATGCCCGGCCAGTGTGGCTCAGTGGTTGAGCATTGACCTGTGAACCAGGAGGTCACGGTTCGATTCCCAGTCAGGGCACAGGCCCGGGTTTCAGGCTCGATCCCCAGTGTGGGGTGTGCAGGAGGCAGGCGATCCATGATTCTCTCTCATCATGAATGTTTCTAGCTCTCTCTTTCCCTCTCCCTTCCTCTCTGAAATCAATGAAAAAAAAATATTGCAATCAAGATGAAAACATTTAAAATGTTTTCATTAAAAAAATTTTAATGAAAACATTAAAAAAAATTAAACATTAAAAAAAATTGTAATCAAGATGAAAAACATGCGTAGTCGGCCGTGCTACCTCGGGGTTTTGTGGTTCGGTGTGTGTTCGCTGTGGGTCTCTCTGTGTTTGTTGGGCTTCTCTTTCTTTCCGGAGGGCCTCCGCTGAATCGCTTCTCCTTCATCGAACATGAGGTGGAGGCGGTAGCTGACCAGTTTGATTATTGCGAAGAATATAGTCACTGAACTGCAGTAGAGAAATACAGTGACGGCGTTGGGAGGAAGAGCCTGGAGAAGAGAGAAGAAAGGAGAAAGTCACGTGCTTATAGGACCATCTTTCTTTTAAGTCTGCAAGCACTTTGGGACTTTTTATGGAGCATAAATTGGACAAGATTTCAAAGGATCATTCTTAGAACTTTTCCACCTGCGCTACCTGAGGGGAAAGAGCTGCTACCCTTTTCGTCTTTTTACAAAGACTTTCTTAAAGTTCCTCAGGTTCTGACATAGTCCATGCTGCATTGAAATCAATAAAAATATATTTAATATAAAAAAAAAGACTGAACAAGGTTGCACTGTGTGTAGGTACTGCATTTTGCTTATCCCTTCATCGGTCAATAGACATTTGGGCTGATTACACAAGACCCTGCTTTCATTTTTTTTTTTTTTTTGGATATATAATCTGATGTGAAACTGCTGGATCCTATGGTCATTCTGTTTAATTTTTTTAAAATATATTTTTATTGATTTCAGAGAGGAAGGGAGAGGGAGCGAGAGATAGAAACATCCATGATGAAACAGAATCACTGATCGGCTGCCCCCTGCGTGCCCCCCACGGGGGACCGAGCCCGCAGCCCGGGCCTGTGCCCTGACCGGGAATCGAACCGTGACCTCCTGGTTCACAGGTCGACGCTCCACCACTGAGCCACGCGGGCCGGGCCTGTTCAATTTTTCGAGGACCCGCCATACTGTTTTCCACGTGACTGCACCACTTTATGCCACTTCAGGCTTATTAATAACTGATGGGTATGACTCTCCATCGCTTGATCAGCCTGGAGAGATCAATACTGGCTCCCCGAGGACTGGCTATGAATAGCACGGTGCCCCAGTGAGAATAAACCGCTTCCACGGGGTCCAAAAAGGAATATCCTACTTCAAACTGACAAATAAAAGAACCGTGGGAGGCCCGGGTCT